GGTAACCAGTCTAGGAGAAAGAAAATTCAAAACTGTGTGTAGCCCTTGTCAAGCTCATACTATGCAACTAAGGAAAAGATCGTTCACATTGATTCGATGATCCCGACTACAGTTGACTCCTTTGTGGCACACTCCCATCCTTGTACAAGATATAAATATTTTGTTTCTGTTGGTAAATGGAAATGTTTACATGGCTCTCTGGCCTATGTTGCTTTGCTTGATCAGTTTGTTAAGTCTTTTTAGTCCTTAATCAATCATAATATTTGATTTACTTTGACCAGCCTTATATGTTTATTTGATAAACTTATTTTAATTAACTTTACAGTGAATCCATCTGAAATCATCTCTGTATGTTGTCCCTCAAAACTTTGCAGGTGTTCAGACGTTTGTTGTACACTCCGGCCTTCTTTAGGTGGTAACTGGAATTTCAAACTAACCCCTTTATTTAGTTAATGGGAGTAGATTGTTCTAATTCTACATGACACGACTTTTCTGGATATTTGTTTTAGTTAATTCCTCTTCCAAATATCACTTGAAGAAGTCTGGAGTGTACAACAGCCGAAATATGAATATGGCAATAAAGATGAAGTCATCAGTTTGAACAATGTAAATAGTTACAATACTTCATCTCAGAAATATAGACAGATGTTAGTTATTTTTATTTACATTGTCAAAAGTATATATTTAATAAGCCAAGCTGTAACAGATTAGGTAGTTTTAATTTTATAAAATGTCATGTTAATAACTGAGAAAAACGTGGATTTAATTCACACCTGTGTACACTATACCTATTTTAGTGCAGGTTGTCTTGTAATTTTACTGAGAAGGAACCAGAAATGAGCAATATCTCCTTTTCAAACAGATAAGCACACATATTGGATGTTTCAGTTTTCACTGTATATTTGGTGATGATTATCAATTAAACAACCACTTTTATTCTGTTTCTAAACTTTAAGATTTAAAAATAAAAAAAAAAAAAGACTCCAAAAAATGATTTTGCAATATAGTGTTCAGAAAATGTATTTTACTTGCATTCAAATGTAGTGCTATTATTAGTATAGTTTTTTGAGATACAGGTTGAGTATTCTTTATCCGAAAACCTCAGAACTCCAAAAGTTTTTCAGATGCTGACATAATTTTCCACAAATGGAAAATTTTAGAAAGCACTGGGAAGATTCCTAGGTGAGGTACAACTGTTTCAAAGGTGTCGGTTCCCTAGCCTACATTGGCACCATTTTTTTGTTAATGATCATCACAGCAACACCTTCATTCAGGGATTGCTTCCCGGGTGTTTTGTGCTCAGTAAAGATATTATTCAAAATATCAAAGTCCTGCATTTATATATTTTTGTAAGTTGTGATTGTGGTGTTGGGGTTTTTTTTTTTTTTTTTTTTTTTAAATACATGTACAGAAAGTACAAAACATTTTTATGTGAAATCTTAATTTCACCACTTAAAAATTTGTGTAAGCATTACATGACTGGTGTATGTATACAAATTTATTAAATTTTTTATAAAACTACTTTTAGGGCATATATATAAGATATGTTATGAACTGTAAAGGGATATCCTGGTTATGCTTGGGTTCCATTCTCAAGCTGCTTAATTTTATAGATGCTATATACAAATTAAATAGCCTGAATTCCAAAATATGAAAACTGAAGCACTTCTTGTCCCAAGAATTTTGGATAAAGGATTCTCAACCTGTATTTACTAATTGCACTTTTTCTAAATCTTTCCACAGCTTTGGCCTCAAAAGGTTACACTTGTATTTTTTTTTTTTTTTCCTCTTCATATTTTCAAAACAACCATAATTCCATGAGATTTTGAAACCATTATTTTCCTAATGTATACACAAGCATTTTGTTTTTGTTTTTTCTTAAGAAAAGGTATCTGCTTCTTATTCAAAAAGGAAGTTCTTCCAAAAGCCCTGGTGTTATTTATGGCGTCTGTAACTCCTCCACACCAGATTTTTATTTTATTTTTTTTTAATTTACATGTGTATCTGAAATAAAATCTGCTAATTTCACCAAGTAACTTATCAGTGATCATTTATGTGGAAGATGAAACAGGAATACTTAATGATTTTCTAAATATTGCTATAATGTCTCACAGCCAATTGAATTGATGAAGTGTTGCATGGCAGATAACAGCACAGGAAATTAAATTAGCAACCTGAATTTGGGTTTTAACCAAAGTTGCTTCACTTTACACTAATGCCCTTAAAAAAGGCATGCCCCCACATCTCTTACCATTTGTGGGTAAATAGCATGGCAGTTAGATCTGGGTACAGCAGTCTATTTAAGATGGTGTGTGTCAGCCTTTTTTTGCTCCATGAACCATATGTCAGAATATCTCTCCCCCTTCCATTCCAAATAGTATGCATGTATTATAAAAAAAAATCTTCATTCTATTCCATATTTGTACGTTTACATGGATTATTTTTATAGAGGAGTATTACAAATTTCATAGCAATGGAAAATGTTGGTGAAATTTTTAAACTTTAAATTACATATACAATAATTTGTTTCAATTTATAACTAATTATTAAATAAATTGAAGCATATGTCAATAAACAAAAGGATCAATAGAATGCCATTATATTTAAATTGATTCTGATGGACATTATAGTCAAAAAAAAATTTTTTTATTTTTTTTTGTAACTCAAGAAAATGTAAAAGATCCTCTTGACTCAGCACTGGTGGTGGTGAGGTGTTCCCAATTGATTGAGAACCCCTGAAAAAAAAAAAAAAAAAAAACTGCATTATAGTAGTTGACATAATTGATCTCAAGCCCAGTTAAGAAATAGGGAGAGAAGGACATCTGGCCAACAATTCAACGCTACAAAAACTTCAAACAGAAGGAATAAATCTCAGAGGAATAAATCCCATATCATCCAAAATGCTGTAATATGCAGGAGGGGAAGGGCGGTTCTGGTACCAAAATCCAAGATGTTATGTGATTTAGTATTTTGGTGAGGTCTATTAAAATTTTGAAAGTATTTTCGTTTATGTGCATAAAAATACCAAAATGTACCATGTTTTTAATTTATTTATTTTTGTTAATCAAAATAAAGGAAAGATATTCAATGTAAACAATCAAATAAAAAAAAAAAAAAAAAAATCAAGGTTTTTCAGGTGGAAAGGTGGAGGCAAAACTGGGTAAAAGGAAAGTTGACACCATAACAAGCACTATACTGTGGGAGGCCCAATCATGTATATTAAGTAGTTTCAAGAACTGCTCAGACCACGATCATATTTGCATTAAAAGAAATAGCCAGAAAATAGTGACACTTTACTCATTGCAATAATGAACCAAAGTGAGGCAGCCTTGATTGTAATTTTCATTTTTAATTTCTGGTAAGATTAAAATCATAAAAATTGCTGAGAAATGTACCTTCCTAAAATATTCAATAAAGAAACAATTGTTGATGGATAATCAATCAGATAAGGATTCTTATTTATGAATCAAACTCTATTATTAATTTAAAATTATACAAGCTGGTAAGTCCATATCTAACATTTCAGAACCAAATTGATGCCATCTACTGGCTATAGGTCCAGTACTTAGTACCCCTACCCAACCACTATGTATGAACTTATTTGCTATATATATATATATATATATATATATATATATATATGTGTGTGTGTGTCATATTCCCCCTACCCCTCTCTCTATATTTCCTTACATCAACTTAAAACTACCCCTCAAAAGTATATAAAAACAATATGTAAATTTAAAACATTTTTTTTTTTTTTTTTCACCCTTGCAAGTGCGGTCTGATGAACCAGGTAAAAACCATATACCTGGGGAAATAAATTATAACCAATGGACCCTTAAGGTTGTCTGTTTTCTATTTGAATTGAATTAATGATTGCTCTGATTTGACATTGAGCTCTCTGGATTACGTCCTCCTTGGGATTATCCATATGAAAACTTTCCAAATGGTAGTATCATGAAATTACTTTGAAAGTATGACAATATTCATAACATCTTGGATTTAGGTGCTGGCACCCACCTGTTGTATGGGAAGACCTGCTACAAACTCTAAAAGATGTAGGAAAATTGCATAGAGGTTATAGATATTTTTTGTTGCATGTGTAAATCTGTTATCTTATTTAGTAAAATGTATTATGAAAACTTTGTCAAGTTACATTATTCCCACCTATTATTATAATTTCTGCTAACCTACAACCTGATAATAATTGTTGAAAATGACACTTTGCTCATTCAAGGTATCAAGAGGTCATGTTCTAGGGTTCAAAGCTTATCTGGTTGAGGCCAATGTTAGAATTTCCTTATGTGTTTCTAGGAATGAAAATACAAACTATTTGTGAAGATATTTATGATTTTAATACATTCTAGTCATCATATTAAGTTCTATTGCTACTTTGTTGACTCTTAGGTTTTGTGATATTTTTAATACAACTACTTAGAGACTTAACAAGCAAGTATAAAATCTCATAAAATAAAACTTAAAAAATCCAACCAGTCAGTATTGTATTTTTTATGAAAACTTTGTGTTCACTTTCTTTCTTTAAAATGAATGAAAATAAATCAATAGATGAATAGAAATTGACTTATACTTAGAGTATGATAAACCAAAGTAATGTACAGAATAGAACTGATTTTTAAATTTGTTTACTATGCTTACTGTTCAGTACACCACTTAGAAATGTTACAAATGGTACAAAGGTGACATTAAAGCTATCACACAAGCTGATTACATGTGTCCTATGCCTGAAATAGCAGTTAGGTACAACTTTTCACTTAGTGAGCAGCTTGTTTCATGACCAGGTCATTGGAACAGAACCCGGTCATTAAGTGAGAAGTGGTTGTAATATAAAAGCTGCAATATTCCTGAAAGTTTTAATAAAAATAGTCACTTGTGGTGATATTCTGCCTGTATGAATTCTGCAATTTGGTTAATATAAAATGAAAATATTCAAAGTTGGCAGATTCTTACATATCTAATGCCAGTAGATTAGATGAACATTTATGACCATATCATGTTGAAACACCTGTTCTTGTCTGATCACCAAAGTTAAACAATGTTGAGTCTGGTCAGTACTCTATGAGTGACTACTGGGGAATACCAGGTACTGTAAGCTACACCGGTGGTGATGGATACAATCTCGTGACTTATATTAACGATATGGGGAACTGCTTCTGGACTTTGAGATTGCAAGGCTTATCTGGCATTTTTGGAGATTAGAGGAAAAAGAAACTGTTTTACTTTGATGCCATCTGCATTTTTAACCCAATATACATTCATAAGGTTTCTGTTTTTGCTGCTACCTGTTCTGCTCCCCTCCTTTGGATTTTAGTTTAACTTTCAATGTTGTTTTGCAGTGGCAAACTAAAATATTTCTGGTGGTGGAGGAGGAGAAAAATCAGTTAAAAAAAAAAAATGGCAGGGGATTGTAAATGGTCAGAAAATAAGGCAAGTTTCATCAAACAAATAGTTATTGTACATATGATTTTGTGAGAAAATGCATTTTTTACTTTTTGCAAAAATTTAACAACAGTTGAACATTTAATTTTGTGAGCAATTTGATTGGTAATATAATTTATATAAACTGTAATCACTGTAATGTTGTTATTGACAGAATAAAAATGTTTATTTTCCTTTTAAAACTTATATTTTCTTGTTTGTGCAAATAGTTTACATTACTTCCATCTGTTCTGGATTTCTTTCTCATCTTTATTCAAAAGATCCATGGAAGTGTCCATGTACCCCCAACCTTTATATACCTCTATCTTGGACTCCTTTATTTGTATCTTTGAAGTTTATTTTTGCATCATTAAATTGATAACTTTTAAGAGCAGATATTAACATTGTTGAAGTGGTGATTGATTTTTTTCTTTTCTTTTTTTTTCATGAAAGTTTCTGAGAAGCCTTGTCACCCATTATTAAAATGGTTTTTGTCCTATTTTGTAGGAAGCATAATTTGTCAGGAATTTAATTTTGTCAGTTTTTTTTTTTTTTTTTTCCCCTCAACAGTTATTGACTTTGTTCTTAAGAAAATGTTTTTAAAACAAATTAATCCTTTTCTGTTTGCTTTTTATTCTCCACTTGCACTTTTATTTTAACTTTTTTTTTTCTCCCTGAAAACAAACCTTGTTTGAATATGACAAGTTGTTGATGTTTTACACGATAACTATTCAGTTTTTAAGTCTTTTTAATTGTGTTTAATTTTTCCTCTTGTCTTTCTAAACAAAGATTTTTTTTTTCTTTTTAATAAGAAATCTGGGTTTCATCTGTTTTTAAACTTATGACATTTACAATGAGATTTTTTTTCATTTCTTGTGAAATATCAGAAATGTACAAAATATGAAAGTTCTATAACTTCTATAAAATTAATGATGAATGTTACAGTTAAAACTATATTGGCTATAACTTCATTTGTTTCAACAAAATTTTTTAAAGTTAAAATACTTAAAAACAAAATTTTATTTACAAACTCTTTCAGTTACTTGTTCTCTTTTGCACATTAATATCGGTACTTAATGAATAATTCAAGAAAAACAATTTACCCCAACCCCCAACTAAACCACCTGTCCCCATTCGTGTACTTCTGTAAAATTTTCTACTAATTTATACTTTTAGCATTTTAAAGAAACTTAGCAATTATGTCTGTAAACATAGTTTCTTCATATGAAGCTATTTTCAAATTATCTGGTTGAAATGAAAGTTCTTGCGGTTTGTAGAACATTAAATTTATTTAGAAACTCAAACTTTTCAACCAAATAAAATTGGGTTTCATTGTATGTGTCAGTGTTTTAGAATTTTTGCTAATCTATTTTTATTTTGTTTTACCTTAAAGATAAACTATAAGAAATAAATTCATGACAATTAATCTAGAGATTTTATGTTTTTAATTGAGGATCAGATGTTGTTTTTTTTTTTTTGTTTTTGGGCTTGAATGCATACTTCATGATCCACACTATAAATATTAATCCCCAAACTTATTTTTAATGATTTGAATATTGAAGAGAAAAAAATGCTATACTTCAGTCTTTTGTATCGTTATTTGCTTAGAGAATGTAATAGACTATTCTGGAGATCTCTAAGAAATGATGCCGTTTGTAAATAACCAATCAATCAATTAATAACCGGATTCCATGTTAGTGACCAAACAAAGCAGGTGCTTCCATTGAAACAAAAACGATAGATATGATAAGTGAATAGTCCAAGCAATAGTCTGGAATTAACTGCTTTTTTTCTTTTAAGGAAGAAGTGCACAGAATTTTTATTTGGTAAAAAAAACAAACAAAAAAAAACAAAAAAACAAATCCATTCTGTTGGCAAAACGTGATAATGTGTGCAAAGGAAGTAATGAATGAGTGAAAGGGTTGCATATGTGCTGTGTACTATTGAGAAAAAAGAAGTCCTTGTTATGATTGTCAGTTTTGAAAGCATCATGTCTGGGGGTTGTGCAATTATTTTCTGGGCTGCCTGCCTGGTTGGTTGGTTGGTTGGTTGTAGTAGCAAGCCATTTGCATTGTGAAGGCATGCTTTGTGTAGTTGTAACATCAGCCATAATCTCTCTCTCTCTCTCTCTTTCTCCCTTCCCCCTCCTTCCCAATGCAGCACGCTTTCATCGTGTCTTCTTGTTGGTTGTGTTATTGATTTCTGACTGGCTTAAAGCGGTGGTTATCAAATCTGCTGTTACTGCTGTCATAAACAAGAAGAATTTGGGATGTTGGTGGCAGCAGCAGTGGCATTACTAAGAGGACGAGGATGACTCGTTGGCAGAGTCCTGGCTGCTGTTAGGAAGGAGGTTTGAAGGTGGGAAGGGCCGTTGCTGCTGCTGCCGCCGCCGTAGTCTCTTGTCTCGGGAACAATGTGATCACATAACTGTGCTCATTCCTTTTGCTGCCTTGTGTCAAGTGTGTGTGTGTGTGTTTGCGTGTAAGCAAAGTTAAAGTGTGTTTTTTGAATAGATTCTCTTCTACTTCTCTGTGTCATCTTTTCATCCTTGAGGGCAGAAATAAAAACTGGTTTTATGCTTAAGAGCGTCGGAAAGCCCTTTACCAAGTGTCGACATATTTTTAGCACTTTGACTTTTTCAAGAGATTATTCAATTCACTATTTTTCCTGCAATTTGTATTCTTATTTGCTTTATGTCTCTGCTTTAAAACAAGGTTAGAAAATATTTCTACAAATTGTATAGCCAGGATTTTACAAGTTCACAAATATTAATTGTCTGTCTGTGTATGTATCTGAGAGAGAGAGAGAGAGAGAGAGAGAAAAAAAATAAATAAATAAATAAGTGATGGTGGGGAACTTGCCCAGGAGATTAATATGAACCACTTTAAGCCAACATGGCTGCTTCTGGTACCAATATATTTGAGTTGAGCTTTTTCAAAACAAACCCAGCACATGATTCAAATTCAATGCAATGTTATTTTATACTTCTAAAATAGCATTATTTGTGTTAAATGTTTTGAGATTAAGTTGATAATTTCAGAATAGTTGAAACTCACACATGCACAGATCTTGAAATAATGATGAATAGCCAATCATGTTGGCAAGTAATTGTAGAGTTAAAGAATCCTGAATCCAACTTCTGGTTGTACTTCACTGTTTGGAATTTTTATTTACTCAATACAATTGTGATTTAATAATTCTATTATCAGCTGAAAACAATAAAGCCATCTGTGTGGCACTTATATTATTTGTGTGGGCGGACAACTTTTGCCCTGTAAGTGGAAAATGTTTAACAAAAAGAGGGATGCTTTTTTTTTCTTTCTTTTTTTTCTGGTGGTAATTTTATTTTATTTTTTTTTATTTTTTTTATTTTAAATGTCCATGTCCCTTTAAGATCTAGAGGGTCATGGTTTGCCACAACTCCTCTTTATCTGGAAATTACCATAACTTCTAGGGAAAATAGTGATTTCTCATTGGTTTCTTCAGTTTGGAATTTTTAAGTTGCTCTTTTCCTAGACTGATGTCCACTCAAGGTTTGAAATCCCATAACTGGAGGGAGTCGAGCTGAATTCATGCTTTTCCCATGGGTATTAGTGCAGAAGTGGATGTAACAGACTAGGCTGGAATTTGAACTTGGTTCAACAGTTTCCTTCTCTGCACTGATAACTGTTTATTTCCTATTCAAAAGATTTAAAAAAAAAAAAAAAAATTCTTCTGGAATTAAAGTAAACTTATACTATTTGTTGCCTCTGTTATTTTATAATTATAGCTTAGTTTTGGCAAAAACCTACGAGTATCAGTCACCCAGTGAGGACTAACCTCACAACTGATGATCTACAAGCCTGGTTAGCTGACCTTTACACCACAATGAGGTGCTTAGTTTATTGCATCTGTTCATTAACTTAGCTGTACAAATTACTCAGGACTGCCTGTAAGTTTTCAGCTTAAGTTTTGTTTCATTCAGAAGAATTGTTATCTCAAGAGTGGCAGTTATAGCTTTGTAAGAGAATGCTCACACTTTTACATACAATGGTTACTTTAGAAACAAGTTATTTTTAACTACTAATTTTATTAATTTCAATTTGAATTAGTGCTGAATATCTTTATTACAACAAATACCAAAATATAAAGATTGTTTTTCTTTGCATCTATATTAAAATAAACTTTATTTATGTTTGTCATTATAACACAGCAAGAACGGTACATTGTAGCACAATTTTGGTTAATTTAATACCACATAAAATGTTCTTGGAAAATAAAGGAAATTCCTGTTCAATCAGTTCACTAGTTTTAGAAATTTTAATTAAGTATAAATTGATAACTCCTGGTCTACTAATTTCTAAATCGTCCTTTCTGATTTTTTTTATATTAAAAAAGATAAGAGAAGAATTCTTATCTGCACTCTAATCCATTAGCCATTGTGGTATGCTGGTGATGATACTAGATTAGTAATTGATGATAATAATTAAGCTTTGTGATAATTAGCTTTTTAAAATAATTATAATACTAATTCTAGAAAGTGACTTGACATTGAGCAGAGACCATCAAAAACAATATTAAGCATGACATAGATTATGTTCAGTTCAATAGAAATTGTTCTTGAATTCAGGTGAATCTTTTTTTTTTATTTTTTTTTTTTTTTTTTTTTTTTAACTCTTCATATGTGTCAAGGTTT